CACCGCCAAATGAATATGGTCATTTGGTAGATTTGTAGCTAAGGGAGCAGTTACTTTTCCACATAGAGCAACATGGGGCTGGACAGCATTTTTCCTCCAATAAATGAAATCATAATTTCAAAACTTGCATTTTGTGTTTTCTTGGGTTATCTTTATCTTATATTAAAATTAGTTTGATGATCTGAAACATTGGCTGCACGGTGGCTCAGTTGTTAGCATCGTTGCATCACAGCTAGAAGATCCCTGGTTCATCTCCTGGCTTGGGCCCAGGATCTTTCTGTGTGGAGTTTGCATGTACTCTGGGTACTGTGTTACTGAGGTTAACTGGTGATTCTAAATTGTCTGTAAGTGTGGATATGAGTGTTTTTGTTTGTCTCTCTGTGTAGTTAGGGTCTCTGTGTCGCCCTGTAATAGACTGGTGACCTGTCCAGGGTGTCCCCTGGCATCGCCCTAAGTCAGCTGGCATAGGCTCCAGTCCCCACCCCACACGACCTGAGTGATGATTAAGCGGCATATAGATAATGGTTGGATGGGTCTGAAACAATTAAGTGTGACAAATATGCAAAAATAAGACTGTGTCTTCACAGTGTTGGAGAATGGTCTGGTTGCACCTCATTATTATCATTCCGCTATAGCAGGGAAATGGCTTTTTTGGAGTTCTTGGGTGGAGCTAAGCCAGGATAGAGCCTCTGCAAAACAGTATAACGAGAATTCTTTGGTGGAAAATTGTTATTTTACTTTCATTAAATTGGCTAATCCATCCAGTGAGTCAGCATACTGTAGATGAAATGTTTCAGTAATCACCGGATGGCTGCCACGAGGTTTAGGTCAAGCTCATGGTAGTTACCACATAAATACAGTAGTCTACAATAGGCAACAAGGTCATTTTATTTGTCATCTGTTCCATCCCTGGTAAACACAGATGTCATCGAGCACAAGCCAAACTAAAAACGAAAATGTTTTAGATGTTAATAGTATATGGTTTGTATTGAAGTGCTATCAGAAGACATTCAGGTGGTTGAGACATCTTGACCTGCAAATAAGGCCGAATCTCAAACCTGAATACTGTTTTGGGTTGGACTGAAATATTTCCGTTATCAACACATGTACAGAAAATACTGAAAGCTGATGTCAAATATCTGGTCATATATTCTTGTACCCTGTGGTACCTGATTTAAATCATAGTTTCTGACTATTACATTTTAGCAGTGCGTCTGCCAATTTCACTCAACTTTAGGTTCTTTCCTGAAAAGAAGTGTTAAAGTAAGTGCTAAAATTGTGAGATCATGTTTTCAAGGCTATCTTTTAATGTTTCTCTTTATGTATTTATCTTTTCTTTTCACACATCCAGACAAAACAGAAAGCCACACATCCATTCTACCTAAAAACACAAGGCAAGAAAAGCAGAAGGTTTCAGACTGATGTGCTGTCTTCAGCTGTCGTTGTGGCTCTTGTTCTTGACTTTTACTCCTCAGTGCTTTTCTCGCCAGCTACAGGAGCTCACAGTAACTCCTCGGTATGACTAAAGGAAGTTTCGATCTGTGTAAATGAGACACATACTCTGTGATCCATTTTGAAAGTGGCTCAAATTAAACAGCTTATCTTTTCTCAGTGTTATCAGCTTGAAAGATTCCACTTGTCTCTTTGGCTTCAGGCCAGTTTCCATCAGAGCTGTGTTATCTCTGATTCATTTAAGACGTCTCTACTCATTGCAGATTGGTGAAACGAGGCGTTGGTTTCTGCCCAGTAAGCAAACCTCAATTTTTTACTCCGCTTTCATCTCTGCTTAGAGTCTCGCTGACATCAAGTTTAACAACCTCATATTTTGGCGATTCTCGTGCTCAGTGTGAAGCTCTCAAACAGCAGAGCCGCCGTTGAAGGTGAAGCTGCGGAGGACACGAGTTTTATAAGAATATGAGATACTAAACTTTCCGTTTGAGCAGCTCAGAACATTTCTTATTTTGTTTTTAGATTGAACAGCTGCTGGATGGGAGCCTGACAAAACAGTGAGTTGGACGCTTAGATGAAACAAAGGACAGGGACACATCAGCCAGGAGCGTCCTCTAATCACTGAGCGTAATGCCAACTTGTACACAGCTATTGACACCTGTAGCTCAGGTTTCAGGATGTGTCAGCTGTTGTGTTGGTGTCCACATGTCAAAGTGTCCTTGAGCAAGAAACTGAACCTCCAGTCAATAACCAAGTATGTTACTTTCCTTTGGAATAACATCTCTGCCAAATGCATTGCAGTCTCTCTAAGGCCATGATGGTAAGAGCAAAATAACCAAAGCTTTTCAAACCAGCCATACTGACACTTTACCACAAATCAGTTGCTGAAGCAAGAAAATGTCATGTCTTTGTTAAGGCGGCTGACCCACATGCAGAGAAACAGTCAGGAGAAACAGAGTTTTAGAAAAATGATATTTATTGCAGTGGTTGAAAATGTGCAATGATGAACTAGATCCAGGTGGAGACGTCGATGTGGGTTTGTGGACGGCTGGGACGGACAGGTGGAGTGAGTGAAAGGCAGGAGTGTCACCAGTTGTGAACAGAGGAGCCAGGAAAGCATGGAGAAAACTTGGGTCTGGCGCAGGTGGGCTGTGGGGAACCACATGCAAGGAGCGGGTACACAGGAAAAACCTTTGGAGAAGGAAAGAAGCAGTTACTCGGAGCGCTTGGAAAGAAGCACGAGGAAAAACTCGGAAGGAGGCTTGACGTGACCACGTGGGTTAACACTCAGGCCATGAGTGACTGGCAGTCAGCTCCTTTTATCCACAAAGTAACGAGGTTGATGAATTGCAGGAAATAAGCCCCAGCAGAGCAGGAGTTCTCCAGGACGCCCTCTGGTGGAAACCTGCAGGAGAACATAAACACAGACCAAAACCCCATTCCCTGACAGAAAATCCTAATTCGTTTCCAAAGGGGCAGACAAACGTCCAATGAGAAGAAGGAATTGCATATCAATGCTACTTAAGCCTTCGTCACATGCGGACGCACGGCTTTTTGGATCGTACGTCCTCTGTGAATTTGGGGTGCCGTGGAGGTTGTGAGGTAGAGGAAAGGTTGCTAGGCTTCATCAGAAAGGCTCAAGTCTGCCTTGTGAGTCGCAGGAGCGCCGTGAGATGTCTATTCAAGCATGGACGCTAATTGCAATGTGTGATTCCCGTGGAAATTGTTCTCACTTCTTGAGTTTGTCTTGCCACCTGCGTACTTGGCACACACTCACCACTTATGAAGAGAATGGAACGCATGGCCAAAGGCAGTCACACTTGCCTCACACACTCGTGATGATGTACTGATGGTGTATGTCAGTTTGGCGTGATTTTCAAAAAACAAATCAAAAAGAAAAAACAAAACAGAGACACTTCAGGTGATATGCTGTCTTGTAAATTCTGTTAACATACTGACAGGGTTTGAGCTTCAGGACGTCCCTTTATCCCAGGGCGATTAAAAAAAGATCTGGGACGATACAAACTGATTTCAGGACAAAAGTTGAAACTTTATATCAAATCGAATATAGGGCTGCATTGTGGAGCAGAAGGGCAAAAGCTCGCTTGATCCTGACTTTTGGTACGAGTATAGACCACGAAAGCAGGGCCTCATGATCCTCCTGACTTTTTTGGGTTTTAAGCAGGAGGTGTCAGAAAAGTTACCACAGGGATAACTGGTTTGTGGCAGCCAGGCATTCATAGCAACGTCACTTTTTGATCCTTCGATGTCGGCTCTTCCTCTCATTGTGAAGCAGAATTCACCAACCATTGGATTGTTCACCCACTAATAGGGAACGTGAGCTGGGTTTAGACCGTCGTGAGACAGGTTAGTTTTACCCTACTGATGATGTGTTGTTGCAATAGCAATCCTGCTCAGTACTTGTTGTAACTACATAATATTCCTCTTGTGAACAGCTCTGCTTCCACTTGTACTGTGCATTCTCCATCCAGCTCTGGGGTGGCAACTTCAGAAAAATATGTTTGTGATGAAATACATTCTGTCTGTCGAGCGATCAAATCAAGGTTCCAAAAAACTCTCTTTGCTCACGATGTTAATTGGTACCATGTTATTTAAGGTGTACATTATCGCATCAGTAATTTATCTCTGCTGTTTGCAACCATTTTAATATGGTGTAACACTGGTAAAGATCATCCAGAATATTGTGGTCCTGACTGAAATGGTCAAACAAATTAGTTGTACCTGTTTTTGGTCAACATCACGTTTTGAAGTTTCCATACAACCGACATTGCATTTCTTATTAGGTGCAGGGCCTTTGCATTTTCCCATTCTATTTGATACAATGATTTTTCATGGGACTATATCTAGTAGACATTAGAGGAACTAATACTTAACAACCTGCAGCTTTATTTAATATATTTAAATGTATCATGGTGCCTTGCGTTTTATTCTAAACGCCAAATCTCTCACCCATCACCGTCTCTTATATGAAGGGTCTGGACTGACATCACTCCATTACCGTGGATGGCTCCACTGGCACTTTTTCATCTACAAAGCCATCTTAGGGTTTCTCCCTGGCTACTTAAATCGCCTCCTTGTTCGCTTTACCAGTAGGTACAGCCTCCGCTCCCAGGACATTTTACTGTTCTCGGTCCCTCGTGCCTTCACTGCATTTGGGAAGACTGCGTTTTG